CTTTCGTCTCACTATCTTGCATGAGTAATAAGCACATATTAAGCCCAAGGACTCCATTCATTCCCCTTTTTTTATTACATTCTATTTTGATTTATGGTAACATCTCCAGAAACTGGAAGACTCTTTTTGGCCTCCACTATTCTTTCTGTATTGATTGTCTGTAGATAAGAAATATTTGTGGACTCAATTTATGTACTTGACATTGATTCTTAGGTAATTTACTATTATTAAAAATAAATGACTAATATTTATTCCTATCTTACGATGATTTAGACCCTTATATAACATCTCATGTAATTATTACAACAACCCTATAAGCATTATCGTGAGCATTTTACAAATGAGGAGACTGAGTCTTAAAGTGTTCCAACTGCTTGTCCATGTTAACTTGTAATTTGAAGAGTTTGAATTTAATCCTGGGTCTTTTAAAAAAAAATGTGAATTTAACCATTGCATTCTAAAATTCGTTTTTGCAAAGAGGATTTAGGGTCACTGTGAAAAAAATATTAAATCTGTTACATAGAATAGTCTTCTGATTTCTTTTATCCCAATGCCCAACATGACCATTTAAAAAAAATCAGTCTCGATACCACTTTCATATAATTTGATAATAACTTAAAGAGGATGGCTTTTTTTTCCAACAAAGAAGCAAATAGTGCATCCCCATGACAATTTATTTTGATGATATAGTTTATTATAAAAATCAGAATTGGTCTCCATTGGAAATCATTCTTTACAACTACATACTAAACAGTGGCTCAGCACTAATTATGTGAAACTATAGTTCCTCTCTTTGGTAGAAATTTTCTGACACCCAAAGGCCTGTGTTACATAATTGCATCAAAAAAGTCCATGAGTTTAGTTAATTTTGCAGTTAATTCTTCCTGTAGGGACATAGGAAAACCATGCTCTTTAGAATGAGATTATCCACAGGAGCCTTTACTGTGTTTTTAAAGACACTGATGGGATATTACTACTCTTGCTTTGAACAGTTTCCAGGTCTAAGTGTTTGGTATAGAACTCCAGAGACTCCATGGAGTTTGTTCATGCACTAGAGAAGATCCAGAGCTGATTCCTGAAGTAAATTCTTTTTTTTTTTTTTTTCAGCAGGGCTCAGATGGCCCATTTCCAGGCAGAGCTGATGTAATCTCCCATTTCCAGTGTGAATGACATTGCAACAAACATTTATTGAGCACATCCTTTGGCAGACATCATGCTAGTTTCTGGTTGAGCTCTTTCAATGCCAAAACTGCCATCTGCTCTCCTGATTACACAGCAGAAGGGTTCTTTATCAGCTAGTACTAGATAGTCCTAGCCTCTTGGTCCTCATCAGAGAGTGCAACCAGAGTACAACCTCCAATGGTTTGATCTTTGTTTTCCATCAAGAGTCCAGCTGAGAGAAGTGATAGGCAGAGGACATCATTTACATAGTATTCATCCTTCTAGTTATCTGTCATTCCATTATGAAATCACATCATCATGGTCTCTTGCATATCACAAAAGTGCATTTTGACATATTTGCTGGCTTGTTTTTCTTTTTTGAATCAGTAGTCATTAGAAGACATAACTGCTTAGAATTTAATGCTATATTTGCTACAAAAAATGTTGAAGACATTAATGTAGTAAATACTTACAGATTGTCTAGGGTGCACAAGGTACTAGGTACTGAATGAAAGTCATAGTTCCTATTATCACCACTGGGTTTGCTGTCCAGTGAGGCAAATGTGATGTGAGAATACTTACAGAGGAAGATATGATTGATTTTTGCTGGGATAGTAAAGGATTCTTTATTGAGAAGGTGACCTTTAAATTGAAATTGAAGGACATATAGGAGTTTTCCAAGAGACTGGGGAAAAGGATTGACAAAATTTCAGGCAAAGAAGGATGGGGCATGTACAAAGGCATAAAATCTCATGGAGTGACTTGGAGTGTCAGGAGAAGAAAAATTGAGGGTATCAGGCACTGATGATGTTAAAGGCAGTGTTGCAAAGATTGGTGCAATCAATAGTGAAGGCATTTTTGGGCCAAAATGAGATTTTTGGGTTTTTACCATAGTCAGTAGAAGATACTCTAACAGGCACTGTGGGGTATGCCATAACACAGGGATAAATAAATGGCAGGAAGGAGTGAGAAGGAAAAAGAATCTGGTTAGAGCTAGTAGGAGGGATGTAAACCTGTACTGGTGGGATTTAAGAGCCATTACTATTGTAGCATTTATTTGGAGACAAAATTTTTATGGGTTAATGAAAAAGCAAGAATATTATCTGTTAAATCAGCTAGTCTATCTGAAATAGTATGTAAGGCATCATTTAGACTACTATTCTAAGAAAAAAATCTGTCTTGTCTGTTAGATTATGAGAGTGGTTAACTGGATGGTAATTGCAGGCAGGTAGAGTATGGCTATAGGTGGGTCTCAGGGGACACATATTTGGAGTTTATATTTTGCCCTTGGAAAGCAGAGCTCTCTCTATCTGCTTCCTGATACCATGTCCTGAGCTGATTTCCTCTGCCACACCCTTCTACCATGATGTTCTGCCTTATCTTAGCCCCAGAGCAGTGGAGTCTGCCATCTATAGAGTGAAACTTCTCAAAAAGTGAATTTCAAGTAAACTTTTCATTCTCTAAGAAATTGTTCTTGTCAGGTCTTTTTGTCACAATGGCAAAAAAGTTCACTGAAAAAGGAGCAATCTATAATTTTTGCAGTTAGGCTAAGATCCTCATTTAACTGGAGTTGCTGTTAGGATCAGAGAGGGGATCTTCTGATTTTCTTTGTACCATTCCCAGAAATCTTGCATGTAGAATCATCAATGATAGGGAGTCAAGTCGGGGGAAGAGACATGGGACCCAGTAGGGAACAGGAGATTTTGTCTACTGTTACTGCTTCACATGTGGCACATAGACCAGAGGAGTGGTTCCAAGGAAGAGAGCCGAGGACATGGCCAGTAGAGATGTAGAGGTCATGTGAAGTAGCAGCATTGAGAGAGGAGAGTTCCTCCTATCAGCTGCCTCTTCTCTTACTGGGCAAATGTTTCCCAGCCTTGAGCACTTGATGTACTTCATGCCCCGTAGACACCAGGGTATCTTGAAGACCAAGGACCATCATGCCTTTTTATACATTGCTTGAGATGAGCAAAGCTTACATTTCTCCTTTGAGGTGGAATCTACTTCCTTATTAGTAATGCTGTTGAAATTATTTTGCTGAAACAGAGCAAATTTCATATATTTAAGGGCAAATGCTTTTCTTGGCATGTCACTGTAGTCTACATAGTAACAAAGGCAGAGTGTTTTGATGGAGAAGGGGGCGTAGAAACAGGCACATGGAAGTTCTGGCACATTCATTTTGTTTGAATTCATCCCTGTGTTTTTTTTTTTTTTCATTTACGAAAAATGAGGCATATATTCTTTTTACTGCCTTAGTTCCTGTACCAAATTCCACAGAGCCAGTCCCTCATTTTAGCCTAGCTAATTCTTAAAAGAAGTAGAATGAAGCAAAACTAAAATATTACCAGTTATTACTAAGTTTCAGACCTTGATGCTTTGTCATGGTGTTTCATTACCTTTGCTCTTATTTTGGCTGTGTCAGGTTTGTATTACTGTTAAGACTACCAACATATGAAAGAATATAATCTGCCTGGAAGAGCTATATATATTCTCTATAGCCCTGTATATTCATTTATAGTGTGTTTAATATATTGACCTGATATTTCTTATGGTGACTAAGATGACATGAGATATATAAAATAGTCTGAAGCTAAATGAAACCAAGGACTAGAGTCTCCTATGTAGCACTACAGAATTCCCTACTCTCAGAAATCTCACACAATCTTCCTGGCCCAAGCCAAGCCTTCTCTATCCTCAACAAGCAGATCTCCCCAACCCTTATCCCTCGGGTGCCATTTTTATTTCTACATCTTTTATTTGGCATTTATTTTCCATTCTACATTGTGGGTTACTTTTGTGTATGTTTACATAAAAATATATAATAATTTCCTTAAGATCTAAGATCCTTTTTACATTTTAAAATGGATCTTTGTGTTTCCCACCATGCTGATTAAAAATGGGAATCTGAACATATTTATAGTGTGATGGTATCCCTCCCTTCCTGGTTCATTAATTAAGAATGGATTCGACACCTACATTGCTAAGCAATGCAGACACAATATGAAATTCCTGCTCTGTGGTTGTATACTGGGAAATGGAGTGGGAGAATATGGGACATTGGAAAAGAAAGAAACTGGAGTAGTTCAAAGGAACAGAGGAGTTTGTTGGAAAGTGAATGCATTGTCCCTTTTTTTTTTTTTTTTTTTACTTTCATAGCAAAGTTTTAGAAATTAAAAGCAGCTCTGGAGCAAGTCCCTGGCTGTGTGTAAGTTCCCTGTAAATGTCTTCCTTTGGTGACCTTGGAATTATTATTTAATCTCACCAACACTCAAATTCTACTAATAATAGAGTCTACTACATCAAATGAGGTGATATTTGGTGCCTGGCTCACAATAATAATTAGTATTGGTTATTATCATTATTTTCATTATTAGCTGTTATTTTTACATGCATGAGTCTAAGGAAGGCCATGTCCAAGACTGCTTGGAGTAGACACCAGGGTATCTTGAAGACCAGGGACCATCATGGGCAGAGACAACCCAGGGTTGGGAGTTTGTTCGAAGGCTTTCTTTCCCAGATGGCATAGTTGATTCCTTCTACTCGAACACCCCAAAGGGTATGCAGGATCCTGCCATTTCTGGACTTGTGACACTTGCAGCTGCCCTGAGATCAACCCCTGCTGGCAACTTTCTCTCTGCATATAGTAAGCCTTACTAGAGGGGCGAAAATTTGAGAATAAAGAAAAACTTCTTTTTGGCCTTCTGGTTTGAAGTTTACTGAGATCTGAAGAGAAGAATCATGTTTATTGTTTTGTGAGTTAAACTTTCCTGGCTAGAACTTTGTTTTCTCAAATACTAACACCATGGATTTTCTTTCCCCCCACCCTCTCTTGTTAATAGGGTGCTGAGAAAATTTTGTCAATGAATGAATCAGGAGAACTGCAAGATCTCTTAACCAAAATTGAGGTAATTGTGCTTTTAGCAACTTATTTTTAGTAATCAAAATGTTAAGCACATTCGATTGTAATTTGGTTTTCCTAATTGAATTTCCCCCTATGTTGTTACAAACATGTAACAGGATACATGTGATGATTTTAATTGAATATCACATGCCATTAGGTTTGCTCCAGCTAAAGTGACTTTAGTACTAGGGTTGAATAATCTCATACTATTACTTGAAAATTTTGGTCTGCTTTATTTGAGCCTAATTCTCTGTAGCAGAGATATTGATGAGGTGTTTCAAGTCTGGCATTTGTGTTAAAACACACTTTAAAGTTTTGTTAAAACTTTTATTTTTCCCATGAACTAGCTAAAGATGAAAGAAAAAAGTTATTTCTCTCAAACCACATTTTAATTTCCCCCCCATACTTCTAATGAAAACATCAGAGAAATACTATCAAATACATAATGCATCAGATTAATATGCAACCAGGGAACCCTTTTCACTTCTCTGATAAATTATTGTGTTATCCTGTTTCTTCCTATATGTAAAAAGATTACATTCGTTATCATGCAGATTGGGACCTTTTGAGAATGAATGTCCCTTTTCTGGGACAGCAAACATGAAACATTGCTTTCCTGGATGAGCTAGGCTGGTCTATGATTACCCAGTATCTCCAGGCCATTATCTCCTCTTTTGGTCTTAACATCCTTTGCTATCCTTACTTCTCATGCTCTGCCAAACCTTTCATTTCAGTCAAAACAAGTATTTATATTTTGATCTTCCCAGAAGGAAAACACACTGTATTCATTCATTCAACAAATATTCTGAGTATCTACTATTTACAGGCATATTGCTAAGGGATACAATGATGCCCTGTCAAAGAATTGGTTGCATAGAGCAATGACCCAGAAAAGTTTTGTATTAATTTATGTCATAATACAATAGCATTGCATTTAGATACTATGCTTCAATAAAGATGATAGCTAGAGAGAAAATATCTGGGAGGGAAGGTCCCTGGATATAGGAAGGCAATGTACCATGATCTGATTAGTAAATTAAAAAAACCATAGGGTATTTTCAGAAAGCTGACCTTGTGTAAGAGTGGTTTAAATTCCCTTGGTTTGCACAATTTATAACTTGTGAAGTAGTATGACTTGCAAATCAGAGGATATTAACTCTAACCTCAGCTCCACTGATAGCTATGTAACTTTGGGCATATTTTTTCATTTCGAAGAATCTTGATTCCTTTACCTATTAGATGAGGGTGTGTACCTCCTGATTATTAATATGGATTAAATAAATCATTAATATGGATTAAATAAATCCATTCCATTTGTCCTCATATGCAACTCCAATCCTATGACACCATTAAGTTAGTGTGTATCCAATCATTTAACTTGGTTATTTTGTATTATTATTATCTCTGCATACTTTAAATTTATATAAATGGTATTATATAATATACCTAATTTGGTTTTAAAGTATTCTCACTAGGTACCTATGCATTTAACAACCATCTACATTGCTATGTGAGCCTTTAATCTACTCATTTTAACTGCTGCATGCTTCTCCATAGCAGCCATAACCAATAGAGTTTCTTTGGTGATGGGAATATCTTTCATTTTTAGTGTCCAAAATAATAGTCTCTAGCTGATAGTGGCTATTGAGCTATGGCTAGTATAACAGAGGAACTGGATTTTAATTTAATTTGATTTGATCTAAATCTAAATTTAAATTCACACCTAGCTAGTTGTTCTTGTTTTAGACAGTGTAGCTCCACAGTGCCCACATATTTTTATCTATCTTCCCACTTTTCCACTGATAAACACACAGGTGTCCTCTCATTCCCTCCTTCAAACAAACAGCACTGCAAGGAACAACAGTGAATGTGTTCCTTTATGGGTTTCCCAGGAGTAGAAATGGCTGAAGCCTTGCTTGTGTGTGTGCCTAATTCTAGATGGTGCCAGATGGCTTTTTGGAATGGTTGCATCAGTCAATACTCCCTCCTATAAAGAAAGAGATTTCTTGTGTTTCTACATTCCTGGAAATATTTCATATTACCATTTTCTAAAAATTTTCCAGAGTAGAAGTTATAGAACTATATAACCTTATTGTTTTAAATTATGCATTGCTGATTACTATTGAGTTTGGGTATCTCATTGTATGTTTGTCAGATTTTTACATTTTTTCTTATGTAAATTCTGTATTTTTATACTTTTCCCATTAAAATCACAGAATTATCTTTTTTTGGGGGATTTGATTTTTCAGAATATTCTTTTCTAATCTGGATATTAATTTCTAGTTGTTTTAGTCATTGACATAACATCCTTCCCATTTTAAAGTTTCTTTCATGTGTACTTTATCCAAAAGAAATTCTCTCATAAGATAATAAAATCTACCATTTTTCCTTATGTTTTGTGCCTCTGAACTTTAATTTAGTTCTTCATCTGAGAATTCCAAAGATATCATCCTCTATTTTCTTTTATTAGCTTTGTACTGTTTTTTATATTTAATTCTTTAATTTATATTCTACTTCTATTTTTTTAATTATGGTGAACTAGCTTCCTAACACCATTTACTGAATAATCTATTATTTCTTTATTGCTTTGTTGTGCCCACTTTACATTATAATGAATCTCCTCATGTACTTGGGTCTTTGAGCTTTCTAGTCAATTCAATTGATTTGTTTGTTTCTTATTACACCAATATAATACTGTTTTTATTTCCATTGTTTAATAGCGATTTTTTAGGGTCTTGATAACTGACTTAGATATCCTTTATTTTTCTTCTTTTGAGTCCATAATTCTTGAATTCTGCAATTTAACACCACCATGCTAGATCAATAGAACCATTCTCTCTCTCTCTCAGCTTAAAATACTTTGGAAAACAGTGAAAGTTTCTATGGGAAGCTGAGTGGATAAGACTTGTTGATAAAGGTTGGCAGCATCCTCCCAGGTGAGGAACTGGCCAAATGGCGCAGATGCAAGTGGAACAGAAGGTCGTAATTATGAAGACCAAGTTTCATACAGCTGTTTGTAGCAATGGGGTTCTGCTCCTGAGGTGACAGTTTACAAGTCATCCTTCTAATAGAATATGAGCTCCAGTGGATACAGACTCTTATCTTTCTTATTCTTTCCTTTCCTGCTGGTGCCTAGAACAGGGATTGGCATATAATGGGCACTCAAACATTTGTTGAGTGAATAAATTAATGATTCCAGTTTCATTGAAGGATTTTGAATGAGGTAAAGCAGTTAAGAGATGAAAATCAAAATTATTATTTTATATAGGAAAATGCTTGGATGAAAAGAGTATTTTTAGTAGAATTTATTAATTTATATGTTTATGTAATTTGTTTATATTAATAAAAAGGCTATAGGTTAGAAGCCAAAGGTATCTAAGGATTTGTCCAAATGACAACCAAGACACGCAGAGAGAACCCAGGGAGCTCAGAGATGTATTAGCATACCACTGATTCTGGCAGACACTTGATTCAAGATCTTAGATGGCAAAGCAGCTCTGAGTAAGCTTTTGCCTGGCTTTCTTTCTTTATTTTTGAAAATATGAACAAAAGCTTTATTGTCATCTCTGCTGAGCTTGCCAACATTGTATCCATTTTCTGCCCTTAATTTCTAAAAAAGCTTAAAATGGTTACCTAGTCTGATTCCCCCCAGGGGGTTGGTGACCAGTTATTTGTTGTTCATTAAAAACTGAGTTTTAATTTTAATTACATATAAAATGTAAAAATTTAATTAAATATTAAATATTACTTATATAGAATATAAATATTTTATATTTAATATTTATAACCTGATTCTCAGCTATACAGCGAGATGCCGGAAATGGCACAGGCTGTGTGACAAGGCACTGGAGCTGTCAAAGACTGTCCTGAGCTCCCCTGCAGAGGATGGTCCCTCTTAGGGAGCAGACTTAGCAAGTTCAGAGGCTATGGCAGCAGAGCCCCACTTTCTCACTTGGGCAATCAGGTGATATCATCTTCTTCTTACTGAAAACTGATAACCTATTAAGCAGGTTTACAGCAGTCCATCCCATTGGGCTACAGAATTAGGCTCCTATATTCAGGTATAAACATTGAGGATTATATATATAAATTTCCTGTGTCTGCATTTTGTGCAGTGGCTTTCCCCCCCAACTTTAAACTAAGAATGCTGGAAACACTGTTGATTAGGAAAGATTCTGTTTAATTTTTTTTTAACAGCGTGGTCCAGCAGTGAGGTGTTTTAATAGGCAATTAAAAAGCATTTGCTAAATTAAATTGTCATATCTATGTACAGAGAGAGATGATTATATCTCAAGTGTGTGCTTGTCGATAATTTGTTACATGAATAGATCTACTTATAGACAATCTGGATGATGAGGTTTGTGGTCACAGGGACACAAATAAATAACCTTCTCTTTGGTAGGTGTTTAAGGTACTTTCATACTCTACTAGAATAGGATTGGATGATCTGAGGTTAAAAAAATAAATATTTTAAAAAAAATATTTATTTTTTTAACCTGATTAATATTTTATATTTAATATTTATAACCTGATTAATATTAATATTTAATATTTCCTGATCTTGAAGATGACACAAAGGCTCTTGATTTTTGTATCTTATTTCTATATTAGAGGACCTGGGATCAACTCTCTGTATTCTCCAAATATGAGTTTGTACCACAAAGTTGACAATCATTCATGCACTCCACCCTTGAGTCCTGGTCCCCTGGGTCTTTTGCTGTACATCTGAAATTTCTGTAAGCTTCAATTTAAATGACTGGAATGAATCTATTCAAAGATCTAAGGATAGAGCTGAGAGGTCCTCTTAGGGGAACAAGGAAGTTTCTAGTTCACTGCTGTAATCGCCAATGCCTGTGCAGTTCCTGGCTAGTGGACACTAGGTAAGTATTTGTGAAATAAATTAATAAGTAAAAAGATCTCACCTAGTGAGTTCTTTAAAAATGCCCTTCACCAGAAATACATGAACAAAAAGAGGAAAAGGGGAAAGATTATTTCTTACTCCCCTTTCCTTAAAATTTCATTACAAAGAGACATGCCTCAATCTAAACCACTCTTCAGTGGAGGAACATTTTGTGGATTGAGAACTCCAATGATGTCTGTTCTCAACCAGGTCTGCATGGTTTCTCATTTTGCTGGCAACTAGGGCACTGAAGAGCTGCCTTAGATTCCTGAATTGCTAGAAGGTCAAAGTTTTTGTTGTTAACCTCTTCATTGAAAGTGGAGGTCTGCTTTGTTACTAATAGTTATGACTATATTGTTAACCTCAGTCATTTCTCCATCTTTTAACCTGAAACATTGTCCACATTCTTTGGAAATTTCCTAGCTTTTTTTTTTTTTAACATTGTTCTGTAAAGAAAAAACTGAAGTCTTGGACTTCGGGTGAGTCAGGAGCATCTATTTTAAGCAAGTTCTTTGTAGAGAGTACTTTAAATTGGAATGAGAATTTTAGTTTTACAAAAGTGTTCTTTGAAGGAGGTAGCTAGGAATGACTGACCTACTTATTTTTGTTAGAAGAACCACTGCTTTAGATTGTGTTGGATGATGTAACAATAATGGGATTCCTGAAGGCTGATAGAGCAAGTAAGAGTCATAGTGGGTACCCTCAAGACCCTCCTTTTGCTCCACATTCTGTGTTAGTCACCATATTTATTCTTCTAATTATTTTACACTTGGGGATCTCATGTATATATCATTTGAGCCAACAAACAAACAAAAATAATTATGCCAATGGCTCAGCTCAGTAGTAGTAGCCCTTGCCTAGCATGCATGAGGCCCTGTGGAATGGATCCTAAGCACTGCAGAACAAGCAAATCAATAAATAAAAATTAGCACACTACAGAAGAAAGCCCACGAATTTTGCTCATGAAGAGAACACTCCAGTTCTTATCTTCTAGTGGTGACCTGAATTTTTTTCCCCCATTAAGAGGCTTTGTTTTTTTCTTTGTAATATGGCAGTATCTATCATATGGGGTTGGTGTGAGAATGCGTGTAGGCAATGCGTGTTTAAGGTACTTTCATACTGAAAGTACCTTTCATACTTTCATCCTGAGCTGGCTAAGCTGTCCCTTTTCTCTCCCACATGTATGGTTGAAACAGCCATGTTTTCTGGAGAATGGAAATGGTCTCTGGATCTTTCCAGCACTGCCTTAAACATCATAATTAGCACTGGACTGAAGTGCATTTGCTCTCCATTCATTATAGTGGCAAGACCTTAAATCAGAAGGTTAATTATAGAACATGTGTTTAATAAAATGACTCTAAATGATAGAAAATTGCTTGTGAACATAAGCAATTTAGTAGTTAATCAATATCCCTTCAAATAAGGATTTATTAATGAAATACTTGCTAATAATGAGTAAACTTGTTGAATGCCTACTATGCGCCAGGCAATATTCTATTCATCGTATGTGAATTAATCCTGACTCTTCTCACCAACCCTTTGAGTAGGACAGACTGCATCATAGAATTGCTTCAATTTTGAAGACACTATTCTAAGATGGCTTTGATATATTTATGATTCCGTTTAAGAATGAAAATGACCTTTCAGTATTGATATGCTAATTTTATTTTAGGAAAGGTATTGTTATGACTTAATATACATCATTAAGAAACAGTAGACTCTTGGTATTAGTGGATTTAACATTTGATATTTGTGGTTTTTGAAAGTAAGCATTGTAAGTCATACTGACGGCCCATGGTGTAAAAAAAAATTAATTTTGTTGAGTTACCATTTTGAATTCTGTTTGCCAATAGTCTGGTGTCTATAGTGAGTGATGTAGGTAGAGAATGAGCCTAGGAAACTACCTAATGCATATTATTTCAGCTTTTCTATTCTTTGCTTTTCATCACACATATAAATTGTGGGAAAACCATATGCAATTCAAAAATTTGATCATTTGCATGTGTCTTGGGAAATAGCAGGGTTGACATTCAGTTAGTGTACATCCACACAGCTATACTGGTTATTAAAAAAAATTGAAGCATGCCTTGAGTGGTTTTGAAGATACTGAAATAATTTTTATTGATTGATAAGTAGCTGCTGCACAAACAACTCTCCTTTGCCTGACATCCTCTCTTCTACAGGGTTGCCAGGTAAAATACAGGATGCCTATTTATATTTAAATCTCAGGTAAATGATCAATAATTTTATAGTTTATGTTCAACAGAATATATAATTATACAAATATTATTTCTGAAATTCAAATTTAACTTAGCATTCTGTATTTTTATTTGCAATTTGGACCACCTATTTTCCTAGGGCACTATTTATGATTCAGCAGTAATAAATGAGATTCTGGACTCAGGGGCCTTAACATCCTTGCTACAGTTCTAGGTAGGCTCCACATCTGTTCTGTGTAGGTGGTGCCTTTGTTGTAGAAGTCATAACCATTTTTAATGTAATCTCTCTTTCTAACTTTAATTATATCAAGGATATCTCATAATCTCTCTAAAATTGGACAAGAACAACATTACTTATTGATTATCTTATATTTGCTTTTAAAATAGGTTCTTTTTATTATTGCTAGATTTGCTTTTACTCCAGGTATTTTTCTAAAGACTTTTTAGAATTATAAAAATTATAACTTCAGTGCACCTTTCTTGGTGTCAATTCTTATACCAAGCAATGACAAAAACCCATTAAAAAAAATAACCAAATTGCTACATACGCTCAATTCAACTTGTTGGAAGACCTCTAAATCATTACAATCTTGACAAAGTTCCTTGTTTGTGTCATTCAGATTGGCAGCCACTACTTTCCAAGAAAGTAATTCTGTGCTGTTAAAAACGAGCTATTTCATGAGTTTTGCCATCTTAATATGATAGCTAAACCAAACTGTAATGGTAACTGAATCTTGCCACATACAGAAAATGTACATCTGAAAAATAGTCTGGAAATATATAAATTTTAAGTCAATCATGTTCTTAATGTTTGTTTTCAAAGTATGTTTCCCAAGCTACTTATTATGAGAGAGTTATATTTATTTCCATGGAAAAAGTTGTATGTGTTAGAGAAATGTTTGGTTAAATACAGGTAGACAGGTTCCTTTTAAGATGGATTTTTGGAGACTTTAAGATATGAGATTTTTAACCTCTAAAGAAAAGCTGTGTGCATGTGCAAGTGTGTTTAGCATGTTTCTCTGAGTATGTCTTTGTATGTATTCCTACATTTGCCAACCTTGTTTTAGTAATTATTTTCTTTACAAAGCCAAGCTTTTAAATATTAATGCAGATTCCCATTATACAAGTCAGAAACTGACCATCCATTCATTCTTTGCTCTTGCTATTCACCCTGTTATGGTTCCTAATGTCCCCCACCTGACAGAGACCATTAATGGACTCTGACAAAGGTTACGTGCTCAGAAAAGCAAAGAGAAATGTATGTGAATGATTTTCAAAATATTATCATCAATGTGATGCCTAATGGTTTTTCATTCTACTATTAGGATACTTGAAGTTTGCTTGAGATAGAAACACTGATTGCTACTGTGGGACATTTTATAAATGCACGTAAGATTTCTAAACCTGGTCCCTTAAGTATAAAATGAGGATAATGATGCTTGAATTATGTTTTTATTGAAGAAGATGACTATATATGTGGAAGATGGATTGGGGGAAGATTCTACATAATAATGCATTTGAAAGTGCTTTGAAAAGAATAAAGCATTGTTCAAACTGGCACTATAAAGATGGATATCATTGTTAGAGGCTCCTCCACATTTAGCTTATAGTTTCCTGATTTTCCAAATTCACTATTAGAGGTACTATTCTATAAACAAAGACATAAAGCTGTTAAAAAATACTAAAGGGAAAGTTAAAGTATTTTCTTTGTTGGAAAAGTAAAAGTAGTTTCTTTTAATGCAAATATCTAGCGCCTCAATTACATCATGTGTAAAAAAAAAATATATATTCCTAGGATGAAACTCTGGAAGGTGTATATGTTAAATCTACAACTTACCAGCCTTTATAAGCCATGTCTGTGCTGTCAATGGGGTAATGAAGGAAGACTCCACCAATTTCCCCCCATGGCTTGTCATTTCAAATTCACAGCCATGTTATATTGTGCCAATGTCATTTTACAAACTCTCAAAGGACTGAAAGATGGGAAGGCTAATTGCGTTGTTCATGCTAACACACTTTCTATTCTCTCTTGTCCCCTTGTCCCCTACACAGAGAGTGCAGCATCCACACGAGTGTCGCTCCTGTGGAGGCTTCGGTTTTCTTCCATGCTCCGTGTGCCATGGGAGCAAGATGTCAGTATTTCGAAATTGCTTTACAGACTCTTTCAAAGCCCTGAAGTGTACAGCTTGCAACGAGAATGGTCTTCAGCGTTGTAAGAACTGTGCTGCTTAGTGTGAGCTTCTGCCCAGGAAAAGACTCATTTTAGTAACTGAAAGTCATCATTTGATTTATACTTTTTTTTTTTTAAAGAAAGCCATGTTTTTGGATTTATCAATAAAGTTTGTATATTACAATTGCCTTTGTTTTGAATTTTTTCTGTGATTGATTTTGTTGATTTGTTAAATAAATATTTGTTTAATAATTAGTTTGTGCTAAGCCCTGTCCTAGACCTTAGTTTCTAAGTGGCATTAAGAGAGTATGCAATACCATTCCAAGATACCCAGTGTGGCTTGCTAAATGTGTTTGATTTTCTAAAGAAAAGACACAGTGTAGCTAATGGTGCCTATTGTGACCCTATTGTCTGGGATGAGTTAGTGTAACTCCCTAGATGCACAACACATTTGTAGGCATGCTTCAGCAGCAGGAAAGAAGAGAGCCCTGGAGAGTGGAGAATATTTTCATAATTATATTTAAGCATAGACTTTTTAAAGTAGAATGATCTTGTAGTAGAGATCTCTTTAGATGTGCAGTTTTAAAAAATTTTTATTATGTTTTCTTTTTTTAAAAATAATTTAACCTTTATTTATTTGTTGATTTGTTTTTATGTGGTGCTGAGGATTGAACCTAGGAAGGCGCTCCGCCACTGAGTCACAACCCCAGCCCTGGTATTGTGTTTTCAAAGGACAAATATATCATCTGTTGACAGAATAGCACTTAAAACATACAAGTACCGATACTACAAAATGAAGCAAACTCCAGTTATGAGACACTACATACATCATGTGAAAGTAGTGGTCCAATCTCCGAGTTATGAAACCTAGAATCAGAAAGTCTTTACACAGAAAAGTTCCCAGTTTCTAGTGGAAAAACTTGGATGCAGTTACATGAAACATTTAATACCAATTTTTATGCCAATATACGAACAAAATGATGACCAAATCTGTGCCTGGCCATTTCAATTCAACTCTGAAGTACACAAAACATACAGACTCCTTGTACATGTCACTTGTTAATTGACCATTTTTTTTCCTTAGTTGGTGGGAGGAAAGGCACCGTGATCATGCAGAACAAAGATGTGGGAAGTAGAAATATTGTACAATAAACATTATAAAGTCATGGTGAAATCAAAGCCACAATTAATGCATAGCTTCAGGGGGAAAGATCATTGGTGTGGATGATCATAAAGGTACATCACAAATGTTGGTGATGCTATGAAAGCTGACAGAAGATTTATTTTTTATGAATAAAAAGCACCTCTGTGATAAGCTCAAGGTTTCTGTTTTTTTTTAAGATCTTTTTCACCTACTTTTATTCTATTTATTTATTTTTATGTGGTGCTGAGGATCAAACTAAGGGCCTCACACGTGCTAGGCAAGCACTCCACCTCTGAGCTGGAGCCCCAACCCAAGTTTTCTGTTTTAATGGAGTTTTATTCTAATTAGAAAGTAAGTATTCAACAGATAAATATAAGCAGATGAGTCTTATAAATATCACAAAATCAGCACATCAGGCTTTGGGAATGTAGAACAGGAGTAAATCAACAAATATTTGTAATTCAACAAATATGATTTAGAAAATGGTTAGAAGAGACCTTGTTGAACAATTGATACAAGGGTAATTGGAAACTAATTAGTCAGAGAGCAAGGGATAGTGCTTCAGTTGAAGAAATAGCATATGTGGAGCCTGTGCTCAGAGAAAAAGTGTGTGAACTGTATGAGAAATTCAATACAAAGAGTAACAGGTTCCTAATAGTAAAGAAGATGCTAGCAGCCTGAGTCTCCTGATAATAACACGTGTATACTCCAAACAACAATGAAAAATAAACCCAACCATTGAAGGCCTGGAAAGCAATTAGGAGCAGAAAGGAACAGAAGGGGATTCAAGCACTGAAAAAGGGGAATCAAAAAGAATCCCACGTTAATTCAGCTTTTCCTCTGAAAGCACTCTCTAGTTTGCACAGAACATAGTTCATGAGGACAGCACCATCTAAATGGGTTGAAGAAAGATCTAAAGGTTAGAGACTGGAGCTGCCTCAATGTTTGGAATTGAATGGACAGTTCCAAACAACAAGGGCATCAAAAAGAAGAAAGCCCCAAATCTGCTCATTAATTCAATAACTATTAAGATAATAACTGTGGTTAATTTGAATTCAAATACTCTCATAAAAAGGCATGTAAAATGTAAATGGAAACCAGAGCTAAAAGAAAATATGTACACTATAAATATCTGTACAAAACTAAAAGCTAGAATATATAAATAATCCTGAAAAATTAAAAAAGACAATCTAATAGAGAATGGACAGACAACAGACAATCCACAAAAGAAGACATGAATGGTCAAATCCTTAAAAAATATGACATTATTATTCATCAGGGGAATGAAAAGTAAAATCAAAATGGAATTGTAGGACATAAGACTACCATCATATTTACAATGAATAGTGTTAAAACATCCCAAAATACCAAGTGTTAGTGTGGATGTAAAGCACCTGGAATTCTCATCATTGCTAAAGGAAATGCCAAATGGAAACACCATGTGGAAAACCATTGACCAGTTTTTAATAAATATACACCAATTAGATGCCAAACAACGATGCCCCTAGTTATTTACCCTAGAAAAAGGAAAACATATTTTCACAGTGTATAAGAATTTTGTAGAATTTACATTGATAATAGCTAAAAAGTAGGAGTATCTCAGAAATTCACCAGTGGGGCAATTGATAAGAAATTTGTGGTATGTTAACACAGAGGCACAGGACCTGGTAATAAAAGGGAACAAAGTACTGATCCTAGAAATAACATGGATGAATCTCAAAAACATTACATTGAATAAACTAAGCCAGACATGAAGGGTGTGAACTACACATACTATACTAATTTAGGTGAAGTTAGAGAATAGGTGAAATTAATCTGTAGAATTATTGTCCACAAGTTGGGAGGAGGGGAAGAAATTAAATGTAATTAGAACTAAGTGGAACAAGATGGGGCTAGTTGAGAGTTAATTTCCTCTATCATAAAAGAAGGGAAGTGCTTTGTATCAACAGATTTCATCTCTCTTGCAACATAATGTGGTGAGACTCCAGTAAGTATTAAGTAGGGCTTATCTAGAATTTTTTTTTTTTTTACTTTTCAGGATCTCACTCTGTGTCTGAGAATTCAACCGAGTTTCAGTGTTCTTCTGGTGTGAGATGTCATCAGGATGGAGAAATGGGTTAGCATGAGGGCATCTAATTTTCAGGTGCTGTCTTGAACTACAGACCCTGAGGACAAAGCTAACTGACTCTCAGTTGTGCTTATAAGAAATTTATTTCCTTTTTTACGTCTTATTATTTTTTGGCACGTATTAGCATAGATGTTAAATGTGATGTTTTCTGCTGATTATTATAGACTTCTAAAGAGAATATTATGAAAGACTAACTAAAAAATGTCAAGACATGGGGTAGAATTTCAAGAGTTAAAAAAGTAATAGGATCAGGATGAACTTAAAGTAGGTGATGTTTAAACATAAATTTATGTACCATTCTGAGAGAACTTGATTTAGACAATTCACATCCATCTGTTTCAGTTTTACAACAAATAAATAGGAGAAAGTTATACCTGGTATATCTGCCCTTTATTGTCAGTGTGCAGGATTAATTAAAATTTTCAAAGAAGTACTTAAAACAAAGACAATGCAGAGGCATAGAATTATTTCATAAATAAAAAAATTATGCATTAGCAATGTATTTTTTTATTGGCCAGAGAAGGGAAAGAACTAACATTCACATAACACCTTCTAATTTCTATATTAATTTGCTGTTTCCACAGAGTCCATGTGAGCTGCCTTTATTTCTTGTACAAAGTGGAAAATCAGTGGAGCAAACAACAAACTGGCTCAACGAAGAACACTTAAAAAGCAAAAGAGTTGGAATGAAAAGAAAGTCTGTCCTGTGTCCCTGACTCTTAAACCCCATCATACCTCTTAGCAACTCTTAAAGCCTCACACATTCCTGTTGGGTGCAGTGGCACACGCCTGCAATCTCAGCGGATTGAGAGTTTAAAGCCAGTCTCAGCAAAGGTAAGGTGCTAAACAACTCAGTGAGACCCTGTCTCTAAATAAAATACAAAAATAGGGCTGGGGATATGGCTCAGTGGCTGAGTGCCCCACAGTTCAATCCCTGGTAACACCCCTCCACCAAAAAAATAAAAAAAAAATAAATGAAAATAAAAAAACAACCTCACGCATTCCTCTTCCTGATCTTAGAAGTCAGGTGATGCTGGTTGTTGGCAAAGGATACACAGTAATGAGATCAGGGCTGGACTTGGACCATTAATTTAAAGAAAAGATTAACGGAGGAATCTTTAAAAAATGACCTGATATATTTAGCAACATTTTTATTTTCAGTATTTTTGTCATTCCAAGTTCTTTTTTATTTTAAAGCTAAATTATTGGCTTACTGATTAGAGTTTTGTCTGGTCTTTCATAAACAAACCTCACACATAATAAAGAAACCAACCTGGCTTTCTTCAAAATGGAGTGAAAATTAAAAGGCTCTTTATCAAGAAATCTGAATGTAATACTGTTTTAGATTTTTGTGATCATTTCTTCTGAACTTTTCTAGTTTCCTCATCCACAATTAATTTTGACAGTACGTTTTTCTTAGTACTTGACTTTATAAAGTCATTCCTGAGGCATTAATCTTAGGTTTCATAGAATAAACAGCATTCTTTCTGTTAATTGTATTTAACCAGTTTTTGCAATATTTAGTTATACTAATTTTAATAAATAAAATAATTTATTATGTTACATAGTTATCAATTATACATGTAACTGTAAACAATTATAAGGCCACCAGATTTGGGAAGAAAATAACCTGAATCTTGGGATACATTGCCCAAGAGAAGCAGAAGTGAGCAGGATGACAGGAGTGTTTCTGCTGGTTGCAAGCATTCAGCAGGCAGGAGGTATTGGAAGGAATGCATTACAGAGAGACTGGGGAACATCTGCCAACCTTGAAAGCATGTGAAATTGAAGTTGGCTAAGAAAGAAACATTAGCTAACTTTTGTGTTCATAACAGTAATGAGGGGCCCATTAATAACATGCTCAAGGTCATTCATCATTGCCTTTAGTACTAGTCTTCCTATTCTTCAT